ATGCCATCCATCCGTCCGTCCGTCCGTCCGTCCGTCCGTCCGTCCGTCCGTCCGTCCGTCCGTCCGTCCGTCCGTCCGTCCATCCATCCATTCATCCAAATTGACTATACCGGAAAAAAAGTGCGGCGCAGTAAACGTTTACCTCACCTTACCAGGAATATGTTGAGTACATCCTGCGAAGCAAGGAGAATAATAGTTGATACCATTGGGTGCGCAAACAGGTCTAAACCTTGAAGTAGAACAATGGCACCTTGAGCTGCACTGGTCTTCTAAGGAGAGTTTGCCAATAGAACTTTAAATAAGATAAAACAATATCAGCAACATTTGAATGACATTTAATACCAGCACCATACTTAATGATCAACCAATTGGCTTTACTTAGAGTGAAAACAATTAATCCGTGAAACACTTATTACTAAATAGTACAAAATAGTGCTAGTTAAACAATAGAAAACAATGGAATTTGAATAAAATTGTATTACTTAGTATTACTAAAGTTTCACGGTTTTATTGTTTGCACTCTAATCCGTGAAATAGTTAGTAGATTATATAATACACCTAGGTTAAAGTTATTTTATTTAGGCCATGAAACAAACGCGCACAATTAGTGCGTAATTATTGGGCGTCAAAGCCGCCATGTTGGTTGACGATAGCAAAGAATACCTCATTAAGCTTCTCTCGTTAAATCAACCAATATGGCGGCTATTTCTTTGATTTTTATATCTCAAGGGATTTTGAATCGTGTGGTTGCACCCCAAGAATTGCTGGGTTTCAATCAGCTGATAAAAGTCTTTGAATCTCATTATGTGCTCCAAATGGTGGTCAAACACTGACCGCATGCGTTTAAAGACTTTCCAAAAAGAATGGAAGAATAATTTTCATTGATTATATTTTATAACTTCCGGAAAATTGCGCATGCGACAAAAAAATGGATTATGTCAGACCCCTCGTTCTTCGCCGCAGGTCAGAAGAAACGCAGGCTGTGAGGACGAGATTGAATATACCTGTTTCTGTATCCCACATCCACGCCTGCGTACTTGTCATAATCACATCCTGGAATTAGAAAATTCAACGAACCCCAAACCCCAACCAGTTGTAGAAGAAACGTTACTTTTGCAGCCCGTTTACAGGAGTCACGAACTCCGACTTTCTTGGTAACGAAGGATCCTAGTTGGGAAAGACAAAATATATTTTTACAAGGGCGTAGCCCGTGGGGGGTGTAGGGGGGCAGTTCCCCCTCTTTTCGGTGGGAAGGCGCGTGTACTATTTACCGGGAGTCAACGTTTTCTGCTCTTTTTGGCGGGTAAACACGTATTCCATTACGAGTCAACGTTCACGCTCTTTTTAGTGGTAGACCCATACCACCTAAATTTCTCACGACTTTTGCCCCGACATTTTTAAAAAAGGCGGCAAAAAGAGTGGAATTATAAATAGTTAGTGAGCAGACGGCGAAGTTACTGTCAGTTGTTTAAAATATAGCAAGCTTTAAAAATAGTTAATTTTATCAGCATTCTATGATTACCAATAAATATTCCCGCAGCTGAGCCAGGTAGAAGAATGATTGCTATGCCAATGCCTGCCTCTGTTAATGATGCTCCGTATTTACCAGTAAGAAGTTTATAGAAGAACGGACCAACACCAAGACCAATTAGTGTACTGAAACAAAACGAAAACAAAATGAATTGATTTTTTAAAGATTTTGATGTTGCTGCTGGCTGTAGATTAGCCTTGAAATGTTATCAATAAACTGAAACAACCTCTGGGATGATCCAAGTCAGGGCACAGGTAAAAAAAGCAAGATAGAATTTGAATAGGCCCTTTGAATCGAACAGTCACGTCAACTCAGTCAAGGGTCCCTTGGGGAAGTCTCAGCTATCTTGAAATCGAAAGTATCCGCTCATAGGGGTAAAAAAATATTTAGGAAAAGGTTTTGAATATGACATTGGTAATCCAGCAAAAGTTCTTAAATAAATAAAGTCCGATTTATTTATTTATTTATTTATTGTCTTCTAGTAACAGCCACATGATTATATTCTTTAAATGGTCTATTCAGTGTGTTAGATATGTGCATGAGAATATATATGAAATACATATTTGTACTGCGGTTGTGATGTATCAAATTGAGCTGATCCTCGCAGTATATGAAGGCTTTCGCACTAATTAGGGACACTTTTTGCTCACACGCACTACCACTACATTTAATATTCTATGCACACAACACTCAACTCACATGTTGATTTTTACGGAGGGAGGAAACCGGAGAACCCGGAGAAAACCCTCGTAGCATAGGAGAGAACAACACGTCAAACAAACTCAATTCACATGTCACGACTGCAGGGCTCGAACCAGCGACCCGATCCGTTGGACTCACAGCGGTGAAAGACGACGCGTTAACCGCGAACGCCACCCATGCTACCCTTGTGCAGCTGCATCAAATTGAAAGACTCAGAAAAATACACTCAGTGTGTTAGGTTTTGCAGAAGGATAAAAACCGCCTTCAATCAAGAGACAGAGGCTAACAAACTCTACTGACATGTGGAGCTGAGTCCAGGAATCTAACCCAAGAACCCAGAAATGAGAGGAGACTGCACTACCGCTTCACCACAATTCATTCTCATATTATGAATAAAAATCTTTTTGCGTAAACTTGAAATCACCAAACAATGCCCAGCTAACCTGAATGTCGAGCCTAGCGCCTGAAATAAGTAAGTCCAGTTCGTAAATAGTGACTTAATTGAAGGCAAGATCTTCTTCAGGCTGCCTGTCAGTTCTTCTTTGTCTTCTTTGATGTAGCCTTTTTTTATTGCTTTTTTCCTCATTTCAACAGAACCTGGGAGTATCGAGGGGAAACCAAGCAAGATACATCCTAATAAAACCAAAATGAATCCACAGACGAATGAACCCAGCCACCAGTTGCCGATCCAGCGTGGATCTGTGGGAGTGAGGTTGAAACCTTCGCGCTGAAAAATCAATTTAGTTATCATTCATTCAGTCAAGCGACCAAGCGACCAAGCGACCAAACGACCGAGCGACCAAGCAACCGAGCGACCAAACGACCAAGCGACCAAGCAACCAAGCAACCAAGCGACCGAGCGACCAAACGACCAAGCAACCAAGCGACCAAACGACCAAGCAACCAAGCGACCAAACAACAAACAAACAAGCGACGGAGTTTTTTTACTAGCTATCTGTTATGTTCTGTATTTATTTTCAATTGCATAATTGTTGTCGAGTTCAAGAACATAGAACATCGGAAGTTGCAGTGTCCCGTGGAGAATAGCAAGGTTTATTAGCCATTCCGAGGTTGAGAAAAAACTGTGTCGGGTTGGCATCGCAATGGACTGTCTTAGAGGACATATTTCCAAGATGGCGTCTATTTCGTATCCTAAAGCAGTCCCATAATGCACTGCAATGCCCACTCGACCCAGTTTTCTCCTCAACCATGGAATGATGGCTAATGGCCTTTTTGATGGCTTTTTGGCTAACAAACCAAACACAAACAGTGTATACTTCGAGATTAGACACACAAACGTACCAGAAACAAATCAACATGAATCGATAGCAGTTGTCCACCAAGTATTGAACCAATGCTAGGACCGAGAAAAAAAGAGAGATAAAAGACTCCCAGATACCAGGACATCTTCTTCGGGTGCACGTTTTCATCTATATAAGCTGGTCCTAATGTAAACAAAGAGGTCGTACCAGCCCCGGCTAGAAGCTGAGATAAGATGAAGAACATGTAGTACAGACTGGCAGAGCTGGAGTCTCCGTTACACTCTTTGGCTTGAAGTGATGTGGCGTTTAAAAAACACAACGAACTACCTGCTGATCGTACTGAAAATAGAAATGAGATGGATGGATGGATGGAAGGATGGGTGGATGGATGGATGGATGGATGGATGGATGGATGGATGGATGGATGGATGGATGGATGGATGGATGGATGGATGGGACTAGGACACGCTGTCGCGGCTACGCATACTTACAGTCGGCTGGTCGGTATTTGCCGACCAAGAACTTCGGAATTGTAAATGTTAACGCAGCAATTCCAGTAACTACAGAGCCATAGCCAAGCCACTTGGTCTTGTGTCCGTAGCTCCCGAAGAAACTGACAAACATGACCAGAATTAACGCTGTAATGTCATTGGACGAGATGATGAAACCAGTTAATTTACTGTTGAGTTTGAAGCGCTTTTCGAGAGTTGGTAGGGCAAGGTTGACGAATGAGTTGACTGCCATCCCTGGAAATGAATAGGAATGTATATTAAGTAAAAATATTCAAAATTTAACAAATAGACATCAGTTTTTTTATGTGTCTGTTCTTCTTATTGACGATAAGTTGCGTCACCACATTGTCAAAGTAGTGTGGATCCACGAAGCGTTGCCGAATAAATAATAATAAAGAATTTACTTGTAAAGTTTTTTTCAGGATACCAAGATTTTCCTAAATGAATGTCTCTTTTGAAGGATGAGACAAAAGGTTTCATATTTTCGAAAATTGCCACAAAAATCGCCGCAAAAATTGCCAGTGTAAAGGGCTTAACAGATGGAATGGATAGACGACGTCTGCGTGATATCTATTCGTAACCTTGGATGACGATTGGAAGTTTATAAACAAACGCGTAAAAGAGTTTCATTGGAATCTGTATGGACCTTTATTAAACGGCAGCAAAAGTTATTACTTAGAAATAAATATGTTCAACGTTAAAATACTGTAATAATAATTTAATAATATAATTTAATACTTATATTGCGTGTGTTACATAGGAAGAAGCTCACACGCGCATTACAAACTGAAATATAATATAGAAATATAAATTATGATCTAAACATACCATGTAGGCCCGTTGCATCAGCCCCAAAGCAGCGCAACCAGGAGGGCAAGCAACGAACTGGCCAGAAGGTAGTGTCTATTGCTCTGCCCACCGAATCACGCCCAGCAGGAGTTGTTGCAAGGGGTCAATGTAATATATGTAATATATGTAATATACGTAATATATGTAATATACGTAATATATGTAATATATGTAAGTGACTTGGCAAACATCAGTTGTTCGCCAACATGTGCTGTCGACATCTATGAACTTGTCTGGTCACGTACAACTCCAAACAT